ACAACCTCCTACCATCTGTCTAGCCTGATGTGAATGGGGTTTGGGATTGGCTGTGGTGGGCTCATTGCCTCTTGCTCACTGACTGACTACTGTCTATCTGCACAGTGTCTAATCACAGGGTGAGAGACTGACATGCTCCACCTGGGCTCTCCTCCTCAAACATGGGGAACACATCACAGCTACACATGTTCCCCAACAGCTTCACTTGCTGCAGACACCTGTGTACATACTAACATTCACATCAGGAAGAGTAGGAAAGCCAGCTGGCCCAAGAGTTATGGTACCCAGGCCCAGCTCTGAAAAGCCCTGGTTCCCAATTTGTGTCCTCAGTCTAAACATCTATGACCCCTGAAATTCCCATGCAGAAATCTCCTTTTCAGAGCAACACCTCTGGGAGGCTATTAGGTCACAGGAAAGAGTGTTCATGGGATTAATACTTCAAGAGAGCTTGTTTGTTCCTTCTGCTGTGTGGTAACATGGCACAGTGGGTGTTGCTGGTGAACCTGATCTCCAGACACCAGAACCAGAGCAGCGAACTTCTGTTGTCCACAAGCTATGCTGTCTATGGGTAGGCTGGCCACAACTGAGGCTGTGCATTCTGGGCAAGTTATTTCATAAATCTGCTGCTGTTTTACACCAGGGGTTCTTGTGAAGATGACACGGGGCACAGTTGGTGCCAGGAAATACAGCCACAGCCCCTCATATCCTGCCCATGCCAATGACACCTGCTCCTTGTTCTGCAGCCCCAGAGGGACATCTCAATACCAGGGGGCTTGGGTCATACTTGGGGTTTTCAGAGGAGGTGAAAGCAAATGCTAGTACATTCAGAAACAAGCTTTCTGTGGTAGACCCAGTGACAACAGAAGCACCACTGGCAGCTAACATTGAGAGAAGCAGTCCAAAATCAGAGACTGGTGGGCCATCTTTTTCCAGCAAGAGGAAATATGTAGGCACACAGACCACTGAGCAGCTCCAATCATCATCAAGGCCTTCCCACAGTCCTTCTTCAGACTAGGAGGGCTGCCAGCAAGAATGAGCAGACAGGCTTTGTCACCAGAAGGCTGTCCCAGAAAGGATGGGCAAGGAACTCACCTTAGCTCTCCTACCATATACCTGGCTGACCATCTGCTTCCTACCACCTGACCATCCAGTAGGGCTCAACTCAGGCTGCAGCTCTCAGGACAGCTGACAGAGCTGCTGAGCACATGGCTGAATGCCAGCCGGCATAGCACCCATGAGGCCAGAAGCACCAGGCAGCCCCTGCACAGACAAGCTGAATGGGAGAGCAGGAAGCTAGAGCTCCCATCCCAAAGTCCCTCACATGCTGTAGGACCCAGGGAAGGTCTATGACCTCAAAGGAAGGAGATGCTATTCAAATAAGGGATAATTCGCTCTCCAAGAGGGACATAAAGCAAACAAAGGCCCTACTAGGATGGGACACTATGAACACAGGGGAAGTTCATAAGCCAAAGCTATTATTTAATCAGCTGACAGTTAAGTACATCGCACATTGATGACATTGTTAAGTGTTCTACAGAGGCTAGAGCAGGGAGATTTCAGAACATGAAGCCTGCTGCCTTCATCTGTACACAGGAAAACTGGGCTCCTCATACGGGAACAGATGCAAGGTGGGCACTCAGCACCCTGTGCTTCTGTGCCCTGGAGCACAAACATGCTCATAGGACCCAGCGTACAGTTAAGTGATTGCTTTGTAAAACAGGTTTCCAGGAGGAAAAAACCATGTTTGTATTCACAGTCAAAGGTCTTGCCTATTATTTCCTGTGGTTCCTGGGGCTCCTTTAGTGACATTCCAGGCATTCTGCAGAGGAAAACTATAAACAATAGACTTTCCTTTCCTGCCCTTTCTTTCCCATGGTTTTCAGGACAAACCCTTCTCTCCCTAGGACGACCCACACAAGCAGCACAGTGCCTTCTCATGCCTTTATGGTGACACCGCAAGTCCGCAGAAAGGATGGGAAGATAGGGGGCAGCTTCCAACATGTGCAACAAATCAGATGATCTTCTGTACAGCCCAAACCAAGGAGGCAGGTCCCCAGTTCAGGTCTCCTGACTGTAATCTCTACACTGACAGGCTCTCGGCAATTTTCAAAGGAGAAGCATAAAGTCCCCATTCAAAGACTCCAAGGGGCTTAATCAAAGGTTCTGAAGGATTGTGACTCAATGGCAATTAACATCTCCAACCCCCTCCACACAGGTTAAGCCTCTATAATGTTCATTCTTTTACGAACTGTCATTTAAGTAAGAGGTGGGGTTGTGTGTGTGTGTGTGTTTAAGGATGGGAGATGATACTTTGCTTTGTTGAAAAAGAAATTAGGGAGTGGTTGGTGCTGCCATCCCTGTCCTGAGGCAGCTGCTGCTCCTTAACAGTTTGCACACCACCATGGGGAAGACTGAGAAGCCAGATCGTGGCAAATGGAAGCTTTTCATTTACATCTGACTGCCAGAGAGCTCCTACACCACTGTGCACTGGGCTTCCATCTTGCTCTAACGCTTACTTTTTTAGACTGGACTCGACTCATTCACAACGTGGGCTGCACTTTAGACTATATGATGAGGTTCCAAAGCATCATGACCATAACTATGGATTTCCCCAAACCAGTGGTGCACCAGGATACACATCTACTGTGTGTGGCCGGGCTCCTACTCACAGTATGTTAAAGACCTCGGAGCTTTAACAAAGTTATTCTTCAGAACAGAAGAACCCCAAAGTCAGTCCTGATGGAGCCCATCTGAACACATGGGCTGACTTAATGGTCCATGCCACTTTCTGTCTCCTCGATTCAAGCATGGGGTGGTAGGAAATGGTTCTGATTTTGGTTCTTCTGAAGACAGCCTTGTGTTCGTGGGAGACTGAAGAGAATAACTGGCTTAAAGCCTGAAGGGGATGCAAGGATAGGATATGTTTCAGACGGTGAAAACAGCAAGTAGCTCCACTTATACCAATAATGGCATTACTGACTTACAGCGCTCTCCGTGGTATGGGGAAAATCCTATGTGAGGGACCTAGTGGCCCTTAGTCCCTGCCTGAGTCACCGTTGGATCTGACTGAGCCGGAAAAAAGCAACAGCAAAGTACTAAATTAGTGGGTCACACAACCTAAAAAATGAAGATGATCACAAGAAATAAATTCACAGTGCCAGCTGGGTGTCTCCACAGATGAGATGCTATGTCACTGTCTATATTTTGTCTCCGCTGGAACAGCCATTCTAAATGTGAGACCATCTTGAAGGAAGTCGTATATGATGAAGGAGGGATGCCACAACATGCTTCCAGATCACGACGGCACTGAGCATCCTCCAAAGTAACTGCCTCCATTGGCCTTTGAATCAGTGTACAGTCACCTGATACAGATCATTGAACACCTGATTCCCAGCAGACAGAATGGAGGTTGTGTCCTGTTTTTGTGTGGTATTGGTATAACTACTGTCTAAAGTTTAATATAGGAATAGACAGATGGTCCAGTGGTGTTAGAAAGCTCCCTGGATCAGTCAGAGCACACCGGGCAGGAAATCCTGGAAGATGCATGGGGACCGGGCACAAAAGTAACCTCCCGCTGTGCATGCCTTAATGAGGTGTTTGAGCTATCGGTCTCCTAAAAACTAGGGGTGAATTTGTAAAAGTGATATGGAAAGTACCTTTTCATTTTCTGTCATTACACAAAACAGAGGAAGGGACACATGTCTCAGAACTGCAAACAGGTCACTGGCTCCTCCACTTTAAATCAGTCAGTCACCCACTATTCCCTCAGAGGCCATCGTCTATACAGACTCAGTGGGGAACACAAGAGGGGAAACACCATCCCTGTCAGCCCTCAGTGAGGGACCCCATGAAAACAGCTCTGCCCTGTTTCCCAGCACAAGGCATCCCTGCTGTTTAAGACTAACTAACCCTGCGTATACTTTATAAACCAGTGGCCTACTTAAATCTTTGGCAGGAAAAAAAAATTCTATCCATCCATTTTTTTTCTTTTAACAACAGCAACATCAAGACCAAAACATTATTTTTAGTTACAAGGCACTTGCTTCCTGACCAGGGCAAGGGTGAGCCCAGACCAAGGCCTATCTTCCTCCACTACCAGCTCCATCCCTGCTGGGGATACCTCCAGTCAGGCTGTGGGTGCTCAGCCTGAAGGTCCCAATTCTATTCTTGGTTCCTCAAGACAAAGTAGGCCATCAGGAAGATAGGGTTAGGCCAGGAGAAGAGGTGAACCTTGGAAGTGACCACCCACAGCACCTAGCACATGGTCTACAGGGAGTTGGCTGTGTATACTCATCTTGAAAGAGGGCTGAGGAGTAAAGGCGGCCAGAGCAGGGTCCTTTAAGTGCTATTCAGGTCTAAAGATGGGACCATTTCTACAAGGCTATATCTCTTTTCAGGCATTATATTAAATGTCCCATTAGAGGTGTTTCCATCTCCTCTGGCATAATGGGGAAGTGCACAGAACAGCATGTGGGCAGGTGCCCTGAGATCCCTTCTGGCCCCCAGTAATCACCACACCTAAACTGCATTTGAAGGTGCTATTTAACTCTTACTAGGAGAGAAAAGATGTGGGCAAGTCAAGCAATCAGGAAACCCAACAGTATCAAGGGGTCATCCTGCACTGACTGACTTTTTTCATCCATGTGCCCAGCCCGGGAGAGCTGTCCTTAGAACACAAGTGCAGAGCGAACTGAGCTGTCTCGTGTCAATATTCAAATGGAAGAAGGGGTCAAATAGTGGAATCTAAAATTCTGCTGGAAATTTCCAACACCCAGTTATCTCAACCCTCAAACCTCCCCAAGCCTGCAAGAGCTCAAGCAACAGAAACACTTCTAGGACACAGACAGCACAACTCACCCTATCTGTTTACTATTAGACGTCAGAAAAACCAGCGAAGCATAAAACACAGCCAAGAGAAAGGACATCAACCCTTGGGGGCTGTGGATTGTCCAAGAGCCAACTCTGTCCCCTACAGCCAGTGGCTCCTGCTATTTGGTTACCTGGTTCTTCTGGGGCTGCTGGAGTGCTGACCTCAGGCTCTGGGGTGACTTCAGGGGGTGGCGGGGGTGGAGCTGGTGGAGCTTTGACAGGGGTTGTTGACTCAGGGGTCTCAAAGGCTTCCTCAGAGTCGGAACTCCTGGCAGAGAGAGATAAGAAACACAGGTGAGACAGTGCCAAGTAGACATTCTGCTGAGAAGGCATGGCCTTCTTACTCTGCAACAAGTAGATTTGGGGCAAACACTCAACTCAACTGTTGAGACAGGTGTGGCGGTCACCTCAAAGCGTGAATCCCAGGAACCGTGGTAAATTTTGCCACTGGCATTAAGATCAAATGAAATACTCTTTGAACATAGCTCTACTTGAAAGACACATGTCCACCTTAGTGACAAATTCACACACAGTGGGCTCTTTGGATACATTTCAGTGTACACTATCTGGCAATGAGTCAGTCTAAGAGATAGAGAAACTGTCTAATGTTCACCATGATGGCTCCAGCCCACCTCTAAAATCCTCATCTCTTAAACTCAGTTTGCATGCACTCTCTCTCTTCGTCCATCCTGCCATTCTTTCTACCCTCTGCCTTCCCTGTGTTTCTAGATGCTTATTGGTGTCTTCTACTGGGCTGAAAGCGCCATGCAGATGGCTGGCCTTGTTTTTCACAGTACCCAGGGCCTAAAACGGAAGGCAATGAATGACCATCTGTAGAGTGAATGAGTGAGTGCCAGAAAGTCTGCCAGTGGAAAGTATGCCAGACCAAGCCACAAAGTACAGCCAGCCACTCCTCAGTGGTGTAGTGACATGACGGCCCTTGGTGGTCCCTAGGGAAGTCTATCTGCAAGGAAGCCTCTTCATCCAGAGACCTGGGCCAAAGGCTTCCCAAGGAAAGTATCTCCTGGTAACAAGAAGTCAGTGGACAAGCCTTCTCCCTGCCTGCTGCCCCAAGCTACTTGATCTCAGTCAGAGGAATGGGCAATCCAGTTATAAGTGCTGCTGCCTACAAGACACAGGGCAGCAAGTCAATGCCTCAAGATGACCACAGGACAAAAGCCAGCCTTACCTGTGAGGACAGTGTCTATGGAGAGTAGCAACATGCTGTCTCCTATCTCAGAACAGTCCCAGTGCACCCAAATGCCAACTGATCCCTGGCAAGGAAGGAGGAGGCTAACTACCAGGTGGGAGGCCATACAGGACTGCAGACTGTATGAACTGCTGAAGGGACTGCTGAAGATTTAGAATCAGGTCATGTCACAGCAGAAGACAGAACATGGCATGTCAGGATCACATGAGTATCACTGAACAAGAGCCTCCCCCAACACTGTGAGAGGCTCACAACTATTCAGCTCCACAGGGTCACAGGACCATGTTACCATCTTCTAAAGACCATGAGCCAGCTAGCAGAGTGTCAGCAAGCAACAAACCCCTCTGCTGTCTATTAAAACCTAGGAAATGAGGCATTTGGTGAGTTCTCTTTAGGGGTATCTACAACAAGGCTGGAGATGGGGCTCACTTGGTAGTTATTGCCTAACTTGCAAAAATCCACAGGTTTAACCCTTAACACTACATAAACCTGGCATAGTAGTCTGAGCCTGTATAATATTAGCACTAGAGGTTGGGGCAGGAGGATCAGAAGTTCAAGGTCATCCTCAACTATGTATTGTGTTTGGGGCCCAAAGAAACCAACAAAAACATCAGAGCTGCTTTTGATGGTACACAATGAGCTAGAGCCAACTTTGTGTTAGATTTCACCAATAGCTAACTCTCACAAACACAACAGGGAAGAAACTGATTTCTCTTACATTCACATATTAACGTTAATGGACCTAGCTTTTGTCTATGGGGAAAATTTAAGCTCCATCCACACTTGGACACCCAGATCTTGGTAGGTGAAGTTTTAAGAGTATGAAAACATGGGGAGGTTATACAAATGAATACTAAAGAGAAATGAATGTTCTGACCACCTTGCTAGTCCTGGAAACCAACTTCTTCACCCTAGCATCCATATCAGAAACATCAGGGACAACCATGACAAAACACACAAAGTTAACTTGCCTCTTTCTGGAGCTTCCCTGGGCATCTAGCAGCCTGGAGTTCCCACTGCTGCTCACCACTGTCCACATCCAACGGGCCCATTGCACTGGGGACCACATCTGCCAGGAGTCAAAAGCCATCTCCATGGAAAAATAGCACCAAATTCTCACCTATAATGTTCTTGCTTATATCTCTTGAGATCTAAACCTCTTTCATGACATCACCAAAAAAAGGAAGCTGCTCCGGCCCCCAAGCAAGGAATGCCGTGAGCATCTCCTGCTTACTCAAGCTGAAATGCAGAGAGAGAGGTGGGGGAGAGAGAGAGAGACGGGGCGGGGGGGACTGGGCACTGGCAACTCAAGGCTTTGTAACACAAAAGGCCCTGGTCTTTCTCAGTAACACAAGTGACAAGGAGGGGCCAGATGCTCTTGCATCCTAGCTGTGAATTCCAATGAGGTTTCTACTACAGCAGCTGCCAGCCTGCACACCTGCTCAAATAACCACCGTTCACCCGGACCTGGGGTGGGCAGGGATGAGGACACCATGCTCATTGTACCCCATCGCCTTTTCACTATGAACTGTGTGCATCAAAACACTGCAGGCCACTGTGGGCCACTTCTGGGGCTGCTGGCCTTGTTTGCATATTTCCACACTTCCTCCCAGGAGAAGAGAGCAAGTTAATTAGAGGAGGCAGATAGAAGCTTTTAAAATTCACTCTTTCCTCCCTGTTCGGCTTCCCGGGGGCCTAAAAACCCTTCCAAGAGTGAGAATTTCTGCAGTCCCTGCAGTCCACCCACCGAGAGTCTGTGCACAAGAATAAAGCAGCTGGGTGGAGTTCCAGCATGAGTCCCACCGCAGTGTGGCTGGTGTTTGTTTTGTTTTGTTTTCTACTAGTAAAGCACAAATAATTACACATCTGAGACTCCACACACTTTCAGAAGGAAAATAGGATGAAATTAATTTGTCACAAATATGTATCAGAAAGAGAAATGGTGTTGCAATTTGCTAAAAAACCCTCCAAATTTCAAAGAAGTATGTTTACCAGGATGTGAAAATGTTTACCATGTAAGTAAATACAAGAGTATTATATTTATGACATTAAATACAAGAAAATAATATACAGATACATATAACACACACACACACACACACACGCTTCTATATGAAAAGTACAACAACCAGCATTTGTAGAACAATCAGTTTTGCATTGGGAATCAGCCTAGGTCTATTGCATATGTACATTTATCTATCATCTTCAAAACTCAGTTTTGCATTGGAAATCAGCCTAGGTCTATTGCATATGTACATTTATCTATCATCTTCAAAACTATGGGCTGGGGATATAGCTCAGTTGGTAGAGTGCTTGTCTAACATCCATAAGTCCCTGGGTTCAATCCTCACCACTGCATATGCTAGGCAGAGGATGTACAAAAACCAAAACAAAATAACTACAATTGACAACTAGCCTGTCTGGTGGAGAATAGACTTGCTTCACAGATTGACACAACACAGCCTAGAGAAGCAAGCAAAACCCAAATCCCAAACTGTCAACGCCTGAAGCTGTGTCTTCCCAATGTCTTCAGCAATCACAATGTTTATGTTCTTATTATATAAAGTCTATCATAGAGAACAAGTAAGTTGTTTAAATGAACTTGTAAATATGACACCGGGGGTTGGCAGATGCCAGCCGTAGCACTATCCTTGCTGATCTTTCTCCTGCTTGCACAATGTTAGGGGAAGTACTGAGATATTCAAAGGAGTGATTACTAACAGCCCTGCATGTTTAAGGGTCTGTCCTGTGATCACTGGATTCTCTACAAGGCAAACAGTCATCTAACTGCACAAGCCAATTCATCCACCAGCACAAGGTAATATTTGGGGGAACATTCAACACCACAATGGGATTTATAGATGAGAAGAAAGATGGAAAGGACAGATTGTCCTAGCCATGGAAACCAGGGCCTGCAGGGCTCCCCAGCTGTGTTAATACAGTTTAAAAACATTTCTTAGAGTGGGGGATGTAGCTCAGTGGTAGAGTCTTTACTTGCCTGGCATGCTCAAGGCTTAGGGTTCAAGTCCCAGTTAAACACACACACACACACACACACACACACACACACACACACACACACCAAACCTGAAGTCATTTCTCTCTACAATGCTCTAAGCAGTCTACAAATGACTGTTCCACACAGTAGGAAGTAAGCAATTCCAATGATATGCTTCAGGAACCATCCCACAAACAAGAGTCAGGTAGAAAGGAAAATGTAGACTCTAAGTATAAGGGCTTGTTGCCCTACATTTGCCTGGAGTCCCAAGAAAACAGCCATCCACTGCAGTGTTTCAGCAATACAGAGCATTTCACTTCTGCAGAAGACTGCATAGCTGCTTTAAATCCATCAGGCAAGCACACCTGAGCGCACCATGGTCCTGCTAGTCTGCCACTCAGTACAAATGGTCCTGTACCTCACACTGGGTGGTCAGAGCCTGGCTTCATGTTCTTCTCCAGTTGGCTAACTCTAAGCCTGGTGGATAAGCCAAGCGTAACTTTTGAGAGCAGGATGCAACATGGAGTACATACTTCTATCTTAGAAAACTGTCAACTGGGGAAGGGATTTTTGGCAGGTGGTGTCTTTATTAATTTCTTTTATTGTTTGAGACCAGGTTGGCCTCAGACTCAGAGAAAGGTAGGACTAAAGGTGTGTGCCACCACACCCATCCCTACTAATTATTTCATGTAGCCCTTGATAGGAAAGATGGGATGTTGCAAGATATTTCATTATGCTGTGTAAAAACATGTCACTGTGATTAGTTTAATTAAAAAGCTAAATGGCCAATAGCTAAGCAAGATTTTCAGGGCAGAGAGAATGATGGGAAGAAGGCAGAGTCACCAGCCAGACTCAGAGGAAGCAAGACATGTAGGAGATGAAGTAACAAGCTATTAGCTATGTGTAGCAAGTGAATTAATAGAAACAGTTTGGTTTAAGTTATGAGCTAGTTAGGAACAAGTCTAAGCTATCGGCTGAGCTTTCATAATTAACAAGAAGTCTACATGTTGTTATTTGGGAATTGGCAGGCGGGACAGAGAAAGACTCACTACAATGGGACATTTAATAGACATTTCCCACACAGACCATACACAGTACTCCATCTTCTTAAACAGGTAAAGAAATAGGTGTGAGGAGCGGAGGTTACTTAACCCAGTCACTAGCCCATTCATAGCAGCCGTGGTTTAGCAATACCTGGGCTTGCTTCCATTAAGCACTGCCTCCCAACAAGGGACTCAAAATAACTCCTGCCCTGGAAATCCAAGGTTCCCCACCAGTTATTAAGAATTAGTTCATAAGTAATACTAATGAGGAACGGGATTCATCTGTACTTATCTAGTCTAGATCAACTCCTCAGAACACTAGTTTGCAGTTCCCAACATGACAGTGACCCAAGGACTGGATGGAGGACCTTGGGTACATATATCTTCAATGGAATGACATGAGACTAGGTTACAAGATTCTCACATTAGCCTCACTTTCTACTAGAAATGGGAGATCTGCCATGACATGAACCTTAGCTTCTCACTGCTATGTTCAGCATGAGTGTGGAGCCCATGAGCTCCCCAAGCTCTCCCTTTTCTGATTCCCTAGTTCACTCAAGACCAAGCTAAAGTTAAAATCATGGCTTTAGCCAGAAGCCCCGCTTCAGGGAAGATTAGCCTGGTGTGTCTGGTCCAAAAGACCATCTGTTGTCCCTGAAGAGAGAGGGAACCCTTCCAGAAGCAACGCTGAGCTCTCAGCAGACCAGTCTCATTCATTTGCATCTCATGTGAGTAAGAGTTTGATGAATTTGTGTGTATTTTTAAAATTGCTGCACACTGGATTCTATTCATCGAAATACTCCACTGAATGACAACTTCAGACAGCTTTGTCAACAGAAGCCATCCTGGTCAACACCACCCACTCACACATATGGGTACACAAAGACACACACACACACAGAGAGGAACACACACACAGAGGCACACACATACACACAGAGGCACACACA